TATCTTGTTCTCCTTGAAAAATTATGCAAAACTCCTTGAAAACCTAGAGAAAGAAAGCTTGTTTCATGGAAGATTTGAGAGAAAATGGAAGAAATGTTGAAGAAATGCTCTCTCCCTTGGCTTGAACGAATTTCATCTCATTTATAGGAAAATATTTCATTTATTTTCCAAAATTATGCTATTGGCCCAATTATTTTAATTGTATAACTCATAAGTCCTTAATTCTTCATATAAATGCATTTTGGTCATTTCACACTAGACATAATTATTACTTAATTAATGCCATTAAATGCAATGAAGCCTCCTCATCCTTGAATTTTTCAATGCTTATCCATAGGCAAAATAACCATTTTGCCCCCAAGCCTTTCTATGGATAATTGATTCATACCGTTCCAAATGAATTGACTATTTTGCCCTTAGTTAGATTTTATGCTTTTTAACATAAAATAAACATTTAAAGGACTATTTTGAATTAGGAACATACCTTTGACATCTTGGGTATTACACAATCTCACTTCCTCTCCCCTATCCCCATCCCCATCCCCACACCCACTTCCTCCACTTTCGCTCTCCCACTAGTCAAAGTCGTCGATGGCCTTACAAGGTTGTGACTGACCTTGCAAGGCCATTGTTATGGCCACGATGGTGACCTTATGAGGCCATTGTAGCGACCACGATGGTTGCTAAGCAAGGCCACCATTACCAATCCCTAGAGCCTTATCAAACAAGCCAAACTTCAATTTTTCTCAACCCAATCAATTAGAAAAAATCATCAAACATCAAAGAATCAAACAGTCCAAAATCAAGCTTTGTTGATTGTTCTTCTTGGTCAAATGGGTTTGACTCGATTTGACAGAGTTTGACCCACCTGCACTCCACCTCTACCAACTACCGTGTTCTTCACCAATCCCTAGAGCCCTACCCTATAGCTTCCATATTTTTTGCAGCAACATTTGTCGCCGGTGGCCAAATCGCACCAATCCAGGTGCGATTTGGCCAGAATCACACTTGGGCTGGTGCGATTTTGCCAAAATACCCACATTCAACACTTCTGATCCCTACCACAAACAACAATCATATTTTCACAATCAACCGCAAAAATAGAAAATCATTCAATAGTTCCAATAAAAAAATTAGTATATCGACTCCAATCTAAACAACAAACAATAAAAAAAAACAGAAAAACAAGAAAAGGTAAAGGCAAGAGACAAGGAGTTTGGTATATTAGGCCACAATTGTGGCCTTGCTAGAGGGACGTGGGGATGGGAGATGCAACAGTGTGTGGTGGGGGATTGGGTTGTGAGGGCTGGGGGAGTGAGATTAGGTTAGATTGGGTGAGGTTAGGAACTGATGGTGGTGGGGGGTAGGGGAGGTGGGGAGGCTGAAGGGAGGAGATATGGAGGATTTTGGGACAGTGGGATGATGATGAAAGATAAAAGGGGTTAGGAATTTTTCTTCTTCTTCTTTTTAATTTTGATTTATTTAATAAACTGATTTTAATTAAAAAAAAAAAAACTTAATTTAGCATTTTGTCCTTTTTTAGTTAAAGTTAATGGACGAATCTTAACAATGAGAAATTGTTTTTTTGAAACTTTCGGGTCGGAAATTACTATGCCTAACCTTGGGTGGAAAATTGTCATTCTCCCATATTTTTTAAGCAGATGTTTGGGTGGGCTTGTTTTGTTATTTTGGGTAGGATTTTTGAAATAGTATTGGAGAGTTGAGTTGGGTTATTATTATAAGAATAAGATTTGAATAAAATGTGTTTGGTAGAATATTTTGACCTTGTTATTTGTGTTGAATAAATTGTTGAATATTTGTTTGGTATATTTTTTATAAATGACTTATTAATACAATATTTTGGTGCATTTTGTTAAAATAATTTATTATTATAACCTAAAAAACTTATCAATTTACATTTTAATAATATTCAACATTTGTTTGGTAATTTCGTAACCAGTAAATTAAAAAAAAAAATCTCATATTAATTTCAAGTACTAATCCAACTATTTAAAAACACCACATTAATACATATATGACAAAGCTACTAATTATCAACCTTTAGAATCTTTTGTACACATATACTCCATTAACAACTACGACATGGTCATATGTGCTGCCCACGGTTCAGTCGTTATGTGTAATATCCCACTTGAGGTACGTACTTAAGATTCGCTGTATTAGTTAAAAGTTTACTGTTTTAGCTTCAATTGAGTTTGTTTGTTATCATGTATGTTGAGTTGGTTGAATGGTTGCCTTGAAATTGGTTGAGTTTTGGTGAAGTTTGGAAATCCAATCTTCGCCGGGGCGAAGAAGAAGCTTCGCCGCGGCGAGGAGGAGCTGCACCCACGGGTAGGTTCTGCCCTGTTTCGCCGGGGCGATGGAAAGTTCTTCGCCGCGGCGACGAGCCTAATAAAAAGTTTCTTGAGTTTTCTAGAGAATTCTTCTTTTGGGACACAATGACCATTCTACCCCTAATTAGTAGGAAAAGTGGGGAGTAAAATGTAAGGAAATTTAGTAGAGATTGTGTTTGGATGAGGGTGTATTTGTAATGAATTAAAGGATATAGATGGAATTTCTAAGGAAGGGCAAGGGCAAAATGGGAAAGGATGCTTTTAATATGAGCTAAAAGGGGTTAAGTGTAGAGAAACCCTTTAGTCCATCCATTCCACCGCCTCTTCCATTTGCCTAATTTCTCTCAATTTCCCCATCCAATCTTCCAAGATTTCTAAGGGATTTAGGAGAGCTTTTGAGTAATTTTGAGTAGAGATTTCATCTAAAGCATCCTAAGGTAAGGATTCATGCTATGTGAGTTTTCTTATAATTGTAGTGAAGTCTTATTTGGTTGTTGTTGTTCTTGTTGTGGCTTTGAGTTGTAGAGAGGAGACAAGACAACAAAGGAAAGGAAAAGTGCATAAGAAGTCACCTTTTGACAAGGTAAGTAAATCTAACCCAAGTTAAGGTTCAAGCAATCAAATGATGCATATGTATGCTTATTTTTATGAGCTTGAGATTGATTGTTGAGAATGATATTATTGACGAGTTGATGGCTTTTGATGAGAAGATTTGAGCCATGAGAAGTAGAAATGAAGTTGTGGTAACCAAGTGAAGTTTGGTTACATTTAGAAAGAATTTAAGTAGAATATTTGAAATGTTTTTCTTGGCCATGTTTAGATTTATTGTGGGGTAGTTTTGCTCCATTAATGGATGGTTAAAGAAAGAAGTAAAGAGGTATCAAAAATAGAATTAAAGTATGCATGCATTATGTTTGATGAAATGCCTAAGTGAAATCTGCCCTGTCACTGCCGTGACTTTCTAAGTGATTTTTGGGAATCTTACAGACTTAACTGAGCTGAGACCAAAACATAAAAGTTATAGCCCTGTTTCTAAGATTTAAAACGAGACCAAAACCGTAGCAATCCGAGGTGTATAATGCAAGTTATGGCCTTTTTAGTGCGACCCATGCAGAATGACTGTTTTGAGGAAATCTTGTATTTGGCATTTCATAGGTGCATTAGTGAGTATGAGCTATCCATACACAATTGTTTATGCACTTAAGAAGTAGCTTGAGACATAGTAAAGAATTTGAGTATAAGCTACTTTAAGAGCTAAGAGAAAAAGAGAATAGAGTAGGTTGTGCGATGGGGAACCCGTGAGTAATGGGTAGAGTATTCCCGCATGTACGCCGCATTGAGAGAGCGGCATGAGTATGAGATAGAGAAGTGGTATAGCCCGTGAGAGTGCATGCGGATGAGGGCTATACCCGAGTACCCGAGAGAGAGAGATATACACTCACATGGCCAAGGGTTCCGAATCCATGCATAACCGAGTCCGATCAGCTAGAATGAGTAGAGGTCACGTAGAGTGGGAGCGAGTCCAGGCCGTGCCCCCGGTGAGATGGGGCCGTGACTTACTAAAGAGTTATTAGAAAAGAGTTCTAAGAGAAAGAGAAAGAGAAAGAGAGAGAGAAGTATCAAAGAGACATTGAATGAGAAGTTGTAAGGAAAGAATTAGAGAGAGAGAGTTACGGGGATAGATGAGTAGAGGATTTACTTACTGAGCATTCTTTTAGTGCTCACCCCGTTGTTTTCCTATGTTTTGCAGGATCCAGGTGAGGACACAGTCGGATGGACGTCGATACGCGAGGGGAAGTGGTTACACTGTCCACCATGTTTTAATATCTTTTGTAGACATTATAAGTTTGTGTAAAAATGTATATGTTTGTAAAGAATATATATATATATTTAATAAAAAGAAAATTTTGGGCCCAATTTCTTTATATTATTTTATATGTATTTTATTATGAGAAATTGAGTAGTAGTGGCTATTACATTATGTTATCCCGTAGAGTCATCATGTCGTCTATAATACCTTGCTGCAGTTGACTCAATCCCTCTCTATTTTCGCCATCTTCTGCCCCGTTTTGGCCATCAAAATATACTTGCTCATTACTTGTATTTTCAGTATACCGTTGGAAGATAGGGTCGTCATATTGTACATTTTTGATAAAATTATGAAGTACACAACATGCCATAACAATCTTCCCTTGTTTGTCCAACAGGTAATTGTTCATTCCATTGAGAATACGAAACCTTTTTTTTTAAAACACCAAAGGTTCTCTCGACAACATTGCAGAGTGATGCATGTCTGTAGTTAAACAACTCTTGTGGCCTCCTCCGGTTACGGCGATGATCATGAATATGGTAAGTCACTCGCCTATGAGGGGCGAGGAACCCCTCTCTATTTGGATAACCCGCATCAACCAAATAGTATTTTCCTGTAATAAAATCACACACATTATTTGAATTCTAGGGCCTCAAAAGTGGAGCCAATGCGCTATAATACGTAAAGAAGATACTTATACCTGGTGGAGGATGTGGGAATCCATAATTAGGATCATCAAGAATTGAATTTAAAACTCTTGAATCATGCGCAGATCCTTTCCACCCAGTGACGACATATCTGAACATCATCCTAAAGTCGCATACAACCGTTATATTCTATGACAACGTTCCTTTGCGATTCTGGTACCTATCGCCAAACTCCAATGGAACCGAAGCGTACACATGTTTGCCATCAATGGCTCCAATACAATCCTATCATCAAAATTGAATTTTAGTAATCTTAGCCGACTATCAACATTAATAATACAATGAACTTAACTACCCACTAATATAAAACATAATGAAGATATACCTTAAAGAAAGGGTAATATTTTCTATTGGTCGATATTTCCAGTGAAACATCACTGAAGTCAGGTGGCCTGATAAACCCTGTCTTCAACTCACATATCGCCTCACAAACTTCGCCAACATATCTAGAGATCGTCTCACCTGAATGTTGGAAATCCTCCATCATCATTCTGATTGTCTCGTTTTTACCAACGATTATCAAAAATATCATGACTTGTTCTTCAATACTCATCCTCCTATTTGATCGCAATTTCCCTTGCTGTGCCAAAATGTAACATAAGTTTGTAAAACAGTCTTTTTCCATGCGGCACTTGTCAAAAATTCTGTCATCAGGACCATTGAGTACTTCCAACATGTAATCATGGCTAGTTAATATGGATGTATGTCGTAAGTGACGCCCATTTGTTTCTAACGCGGCAACTGCGCACAGTGCAATAGTTATATTTGTCAGTATTTTTTCTTCGTCATTTGCAAGTCGTCTTCTTCCTATATGCCTAGATGACGCCATTTAAACCTGGACATTTGCAAAACATTGATCAACATTTAACAGTTGTTGTAGTACTTAGCAAAATATAACAGTCAATTTTTAATTCTAATTCCAATCCTAAACTCATATGAAACATGTTATCTCACATAAAACAATAGCACAATGAATAAGTTCATATAGTAGTCGACATTTGGGGACATTTTCGAATCAAGGTGCCGAAAAAAAAGTTTGGTTTAGCCGCAAAAGGATAAGTGCCCAATGGCGCATCCAAAATTATGGGCAAACACTTAGGACATACAAGGTCATCTACAAATTGCAAAAGTCGTTATAAATCCAATTAGCCTTTTACGAATATCTCCTGCCACCCTGGATTTTGATATAAGTACTTGACAATCGGCATGTAAAACTCTGTGGGTACTTGCATGACCGTCAAGATGTCAATACAATGGCTCATGGAAAACATATCAGATGGAGCAATGGTGTTCTCTTCGTCCCCCTCATCTCCACTATAATTGCTAACCCTCGATCCCACATAAGCACCTTCGTCAATCTGCCAATGACATCCACAAGTGCCTGTCTTGGGCCGCTTCTCTTCTTCCTATTTCTCGGTTTTGCATGACCATATGTGTTTGGCCGTTTTTCCCTTGTTGTTCGATCCGGACCAAGTTTGAAGTCACTATCATCAATGTCAACCGATCCCTGATTAGAAAAAGTGAAGTTTTCCATCGGTTGAGACGTCGATGTGTACGCATATCTCTATGTGGTAGTTTGCTTCTCAAATATGACTTCATAAAGCTCCTTGTGAGGAAGTCCCTTGTGGAAAAATTGATGCGTCTATGGGTTTTGCTAATAATGAAAAATAAACATATATTAATATCTGTCAGTCCCAAAAAAAAAAAAAAAATCGTAAAAATATGGTGTCGTTGATTAATATGAATTAAAAATTTTAAAATTTACCTTGATATATTCTTGTAAGGGACACGTTGGAGTTTGCGACTCATGATCCCAACCAAAGCCCATGTGTTGAAGCAATTTCCATCATGCTTGATATACTTTTCTCAAGCGAAAGTACTTAGAGGCTAGTTGTGTCACGTTGAGTCTCCTCTCAACCAATGATGATAAGTCATCCAACATTTCCTGGTAATCAGCTGTTTTTAATGAAGTACCATGGGAAGTTTTCGCCCGCTCAGACAACAGGACCATAAATTTGTGGGTCAACTTAGCGGACTAGTTCACATTATCACTCATCTAATAACAGTACAGTGAGAATTTTACAAGATTGGGACACCATACTAATTAGCAAACACATTACCAACACACATACGCACATTTAAATGTCATAAATTAAACACAGATAAATCGTTACCTCGTTTGATCCAACACTACTTGAAGTCGTCAATGTAGGGGAAGATACGAGCAATGTTGACCAACAGGGTGTATGAAGAACTCTAAGTCTAGAAAAACGTCAAAACTTCCTTTTCTGCTGAAAGTAGTAATCGATCCTACGACGGCGGGCCAAATTATACCGACATTTGTTCATATGATCGTAATTTGTTCTTACGATAAAATAACGATGTCGAATCTGCAAAATAAATATATAAGTCAGACAAATCCCAAAAAAATATTTGGAATAATCCCAACAAAATTTACTCCTAAAATTTCTCCATGAACTCGCCACACAACACTCACCACACACTATTCTCTTTCTTTTTTCTTTTTTCTTTTTTCATTACCTATACAAGAGTATGGGTGGGCTCCTCCAGACAAGTGGGTTTTCATGAGAAGATGTTGCTCCACCATTTCATATCCACATACCAACTAGTAGTAATAATTAATAAAATATAGCATATTCATATAACAAAGCTTCAATGATAGGAACCTGAACGGTGGCACAAGCAAGTTCTGTTTAAGTACCTACTTCATTGATATCATAATCGGTAGTCCTAACCTATAAACCAATCTCAATCCCAAGATTTGGTTGTTCTAAGCTACATTAAGACAGCAATAAATAAAGTAAAACTCTTGCTTTACAAATCTAAGCTGGAAAGTGGAATTCTCTTCTAGCCCTAGCATGTCCACATCTGGTTAACACTTTATAACATGGAGTTTATAAAGCATTACAGTTAAAATATAACACATGAATATAAAATGTACAAGTTGTTAGTCCCTTTCAAGATTAACATCAATTTGTTGTTTGTATCTTTAATGAATTTTAGGAACAGACTGGTGGAATTGGACCTAATTAACCAGTTTTTGCCCACTTTAAGATAGGTACATTTATGTTTAATTTTTGAGCTAAAAAATCATCCTGTTGCCTGTATTTTTAGGTGCCAATCTGTGTAAAAAGAAAATGAAAGAGATAGGTGCCAACTAGTGTAAAAAGTAAGTGAAAGAGATAGGTTCCTAGATCCAACAAAGAAACTCGCCTATGGAGACAGCGTTGGAGGAGGGTGGCCGATGATGGTGGTGGCTATTCAAGATCGTGCGACGGTGGACCTCGAAGCCTGAAACGTCTGGGCAATGGGCAGATCTTGAATGGTGGTGTGTTTAGAAGATAGCATGACGGTGATGAGTGGTGGTCGAAGCTGGTGGCCTGGGGTTGGAGGAGGATGGTCGACGATGGTGGTGGCTATTCAAGATCATGAGACGGTCGACCTCGAAGCCCGAAACGTCTGGGCAATGGGCAGATCTTGAATGGTGGTGTGTTTAGAAGACATGATGACGGTGATGAGTGGTGGTGGAAGCCGGTGGCCTGGGGTTGGATGGTGGTGGATCTTGAAGATCGTGTGACGGTGGTGGTCTAACACCGAAGTGTGTGGGCGTTGCAAGAGGTTCAACAGTCGTGGAGGAGGAAGAGAGATTCCCGGTGATGAGTGGTAGCGGAAGACAGACAATGTGCAGTGGGTGGAACATATTTAATTTATATGGCCACTTTTGGGACATAGATCTTGGGGAAGGAGAGCTGCAAGATCTCAGGTTTGTTTTCTGATTCAGAAGGAAGATTGTTTGGAGATAGATTTGGGAATTGAGAGAATGATTGTGTGTGACGATGGTGAAGGAGTGAAGACAGAACAAAAAGAAAGACAAAAAAAGTGAAGAAAGAAGAAGAAGAAAGCACTACAAAATAGACAGACAACAGTCACAATTGTCAGAATCGAATTTTGAAGATTGTGTTTTCTGAATAATAAAACAGACACTTTACTCTGAAAATAGGATAAGAAATAGGGTAGAAAATATTAAAACAATGATAAAGTTATTAAGTTAATTATATTAATTCAAATTTCTTTGACGAACATAATTACAGCTTCAACTCAAATCATAGTTGGATACTATCTCAATACTAGTTAAAAGGCCTGCGAGTTGTGTGGGTTGCTTTTAAAATTGGTTTAAAGGCCTGCGAGTTGTGTGGGTTGCTTTTGATATTGGTTTAAAGGCCTGCGAGTTGTGTGGGTTGCTTTTGAAATTGGTTTTCGACATATTGTTTATCTTTTGGATCATGTTTATTTGGTTATCAATTTGATTTTGATATTATATTATTTTTTTTTTTTTGGAAATTTTGATTTATTGCTATTTGTATTTTATTTTATAGCTAATCTTCCTTGCTCTTTGGCTGGATAATTTTCTTAGGAGAACACCAAAAACAACCGCTCTTTCAAGGTGGAGAAGGCAAACCCTGTGATGAATTTGCAGAACTGAATGGAGAAGAAAATGATTTCAATTTTGATGAAAAAGAAGCTGACAGTTGGACAATGTCAAGATAGCATCAATGAATCTATTGAATCATAATTCAAGTCAACTCATATTAATAGGTGTTGATGCGTGGTTTTGACACCAACTAAACGCACATATGAAATGCTGAGCTGGCCTCGAAGACACATGCGGATGGGGGTAGTGAAATGAGTAATAGGTGGAGAAACAATGTTTTAAAAGTGGTTCAGATGCTTAAGCAAGCGACTCCTACGTCCACTGATATTGTATTAATATGGAGGGTCAAGTCGTGTTCAGCGAGCTGACTTGCAAGTGATTACAAAAGAGAGAATATACTATTACATAGAGAAATTGGCTATTACAGAGTAAAAATGAGCCAATCCCCCAAACGGGAGAGGAGCTCTCTATTTATAGTGGGATGAATTGGAGAAATGATTATAGAATCCGTAAAAAGGGGGCAGATACCGTGCAAATCCCTCTTTGCGTCCCGTTGCTCACCCACTCGAGTGATTTCCTTGTTTAGTGCAGGGGTTGGACACCTCCAGCCTTTCGTTAGTCTGGTGTGCACCCACTACACTGGCAGGAGCATGCTGCCCACACTAGCATGTGACGTGGCTGCGTCTGAACGGCTGTAGGATCTGCCTAGACTCTGACCATTTACGCTGACCGGGCTCTGATAAGAGCTTGAATGTTCATATTTTGTTAGTGATTTAATTGGTTTATTTATGGAAAAATGTGCTTAAAGTGTGGAATTTGTATTATTTCTTTCATAAATACCATTTATGGGATCAAGGGTGCATTTTGAGTGTTTTCAGGTTCAAACAGGTTTTTGAAGGGAAAAGAACGATGTTGATAGGATTTACAACGCGTAGGAACAAATGGCACAAGAATCAGGGTCGAAATGAAGAAGTTGCGGCACTTCGAAGATGTTACGGAAAATCTAGAAATCTTTCATCATGAGTATGCCTCGATGTTTTTGTCATAACTTGAGTTGTAGAAATCAGAATTCGATGATTCTGGTGGCGTTGTAAAGCTTATTCAGAGAGCTACAATGTTCATGTTGATGACTTGTTCAAATTATGAAAATTACGGATGCCTTAGACATAAAGAACGATTGCCGCGGTGACCATTCTTACCGCCGCAGCGATGGGTCACGGGTTTGTGTTAATTCCCTACCCTAATCCGAATCTGAATGGGATAAGTTTCTAATCTTTTTTCTAAGCATGACCAAGAACCCCAGGGATATAAAAGAGAGTTTTTTTTTAAGAAATAAAAAAGGGGGACTTTTTGGGGAGAAGAAGACGGCTACCAAG